AGAAAACAGAAGAGATACAATATACAGTGCAACAGATAATTCAGTACTGACCTGAAATCTCCTGCCTCCAGTTCAAACTATGACAATGAACTGCAAGCCCACATATTGTCTTCTGTGTGATCCTCTTTTTATCCTGTTCTTGCATCTTTCCTTGTTTCCACATACCTGCTTGATCCTTTCATTGATTAACCGCTCTCCATTTTTCCTGCTGTCTTCAGATAATCATTATTCTATCCACTTTTGCATGGATTATCTTGTTTCTGACCCCAACAACTGTTTTACTTGCTTCCAATTTCCTTTTACTTTCTCCATTTTCTTAGAAAAAGTTTTCTCCCTTTGTTCCCTGTCCTCTTCATTTGTTATGTTTCTGTGACTCTCCATTCCTATTATAAAACTCATTTACTCTCTCTCATCTCTCACGATCAGCCACAGGTCCATTGGTCTAATTTCCCCTTTCCATCTGCTGTCTGACACCTCTCCCTTCCTCTCGCTCCCACACAGCGTTCTCTCTTCCTTTTTTGGTCCTAGCTTGACATCTCTCTTCTGACTTCTCCATAGAACTCCTACCCATCACCTTCTCTGCTGATCGTGCTAGCAGAAATGTTTCGCCTTATCCCATAGATCTCAGCTTCCTTCACCTCCCTGATGCTCATTAGATCAAGCCCACAACCACCTTCTTGGCCAGTTCAGGGATGCTTGTCGTGCAGTATCAACACGAGCCTCTGTGGTAAAGCAATGATACTTTCAACGTACTATTAAGGAGGCATTTGCTCACAAACTAAATATACAATATTTCTAGCAGTCCTCATAATGCGAAGTCTACACGAATGAGCCTTTGAAAGCTCTCTGACTCCTTCAAAGCATAAGCAAATTGAAAATCTGGATTTGCAAGATCAGAAATAAACCAAAAACCTCACTTTGTCTGCCTAAAAATAAAGCCATATAAAGCAAAGACCTTGCTGAATAACAAACTCAAAAACACAGTTTCCTTCGCCACAATAAATGTTGTTTCAGATTCTGAAGTTGAATATATAATTCATTCCACTGAGCTGTAACTGCAGGAACTTTACAGGAATAGCTCTTCGGCTTCTTACTGACTTGAACTGCTTACTGTTTTTTTTAAGACTTCTTTTAGTTCATTATCGAGATCTGACTTTCTGCATCCACCAGGCCAACCACAGACTAATTGTTTCTGTGGCCTTCATAGAAACCTGAAGCTCTAACTGGCTTTTAGACGTTAACCTAGCGGGCCAGAGCCTCGGCTGCCATTCTGGCTGCTTTGGTCTGCTCAGGAGGAATTTGGAGAATGCACGGAGTGCTTAAGCGGCAGCTACAAATTACAGGTTTGTTTCAGCTCAAGAGGGAACCACATTTAAGAGATGATTTTGTAATAAGAAAAAACCCTCTGAAGTGAAGTGTTTCCAAGCTATTCATCACTTCCCTAGTATCTCTGCTTATGGAAATTCTCCAAGTCCTACGATACTGATCTTGTAAACAATTATTTTCTTTCCTTAGCTCCTATAATACCACTCATGCTTGATATTTCTGTTAGAACTCCTTGGCCCCTTCTTAGACTTCCCCCCCTCCAGCTTGGGAAATGGGAAAAAAAAATAGATTTATTTTTTTTTTAAAATCTCAGTGTGGATAATGCATCCTTATAATGTTATCAAAATCCCCACAAAAACAACAAGAAGAAAGTGAATTGATATTAGTAATTTCTTCTTCTGAATATTTTTTTTGTTAAATAATAAATGTATGGCACCATACAAAGACACTTTGGCCAAATGCTTGTTGTCAGAATACACTATTAGGAAAAAACAACATAAAACAGGGGAATACGTTTAATTTCTTAATGTCTACATATATATAGATGAGGAACCCGGCAGACATGCCCCCGTAAATACTCACAATCATCAGACAACTCTGGGGTTTCAGTACTGCTGATTGTATTATTTATGCAGATATATACAAAATTATGCACAACTTGCATGTTACATTTTTGTTGGAACTAAAAAATACGCTACCATTCTGAATACTTTTTAATTCACGTTCACTTCACCCATCTGAGAATCGATTCATTCTTGCTACAGTGTAAATTTGCTGGTCTGAAGTGAAACATCCTCCAGCCTTTTTGTACTCGCACGGCTGCACGTAACGCTTCCCTGCAGAGGCGCTTACGGAGTAAACGCTTTGTACTTGCTCACGAGTTTCCAAGGCTTCCTTCGCTGCCATCTTTGTGCCTGTTTGTATGAGGTGCAGCTGCCTCACCCAGAGGAAAACCACCCTCGTGCACGGGCTCTCGCCTTCGCACTGCAGGCACACAGGCGTTCACATTAGTTTAGGGAAGTGTTGGCAGGTTTTCAGCTCTTCCTACAACACCACAGCTCTGGATCCCGATTCTAGAAACTCTGGAGCTTTCATGTAAAAGACACTCTTGTGGATGTATTTTGTACGCGTGTCTTCTCGCACATCAAAATAAGGATTTCGGTGCTTTAGGCTGGCTGCTGAGACTCCAGCTACACGCTGCTTTTTACAGTGAAGCTCTTGTTGTACCGCAAACTGACATACTCAACGCTTTAAATGTTTAAAGCGCTGTGCAGGTGTTAATTTAACTCATTACTTATCTCACCACCACTTAGCTTATCAGAAAGGAAAAAAAGCAAAATGATACAACTTGCCCAAAGTGAAGCACATAATCACGGGCAAAGACTAGGCCAGAAATAAGAGTGAAGTCACAACAGCATTGGTGGCACATACATGTTTGAAAATCCTTCTGAAGTAAAAAATTCAAAGTTGGGAAAAATTAAAATCCGCTCCAGTCCCAACAACTAGCTTTTCTTCATCTGCCACTATTAGGAAATCTTATGGATAAACCAAACCTAAACATACACACATTTTTCACTTACCCCCCAAAACTGCAACACACAAACGCTTTATGTATTTCAACAGCGGTTTGACCACTGCTTTCAGAAACATGGAAGCGGATACATTCCAAACACTTAAAAATCTAACAACATTTAAAGTATCTTGCAGAATTATCTCTTGAATTTCAGCACGGCCTGGTAACCCCTCATTTTGTGTTCAACTGTGGTCTTCGATGACGCGGTTGCGCGCCATTTTAACAGAGAAGCCTGCCCTTCCGTGGACTATCGCATTTTATCTCCATCACCGCACATGTCCTCTCCGCTCTGCCTGCTCGCCCCTTCCCGTCTGTCTGTGACGCGAAGGCGGCGCGGTTCGTGTTCCCCGGCGGTGCCTGCCTTGGGGCGCACGGTGCTCCCCTCGCAGCATGAATGGCTCAACATCTCCTTAAAGCGATGGCCAACGTCCACGTCCCGCCGGCCCCTCCAGTGACCTCTGCTGCCAGCGACTTCCCTGTCGCTGCTCCCGCTCCCCATCCCTTGGGCTGGGTT